CATATTCTATCCTAGATATAGTTAATTTGGTGTTCCAACAATAGATTTCGTTTGTAACGCCCACGAATTCGGGCTAGATGTTTTAAGGATGATATCTTGTATATATATATATATATATATATATATATATATATATATATATATATATATATATATATATATACAAGATATCATCCTTAAAACATCTAGCCCGAATTCGTGGACGTTACAAACGAAATCTATTATATATTTGTTTTATCGAATAATTAAATCCTCGAATAAATAAATAAGAATAATGCATACACGATCCGAGTTATATAAATTATATTTATATATTGTGTATATGTTTTATAGGCAAATATTATGGGCTGATAAGATTTGTATAAAACATTATTATTATAAATTTAACAAGTTACGTTAAATAAACATTTAAAAATAAAACACTATTTAGAATAAATGGTCTTGATGAAATTCGTAGTAATCGAATTATGAAAGTGTGCATATAAAGCTTGGATAATAGGTAACATTATATTAAGGGTAATGTAATCTTGTCTAGTTATACACTAAGGCTCATAGAAGATGATTAGTTCAATTAAGTTTGGATAAGTGGTAACATTATATTTAAGGTATGTGTGAGAGCGGAACGGAGAGTAGAACTTTGTTCAATGACATTGATATTTGGTAGGGTAAACTTTGTATACAAGAGTGTTATATTAGTAATCCCCTTCATTTTCAGACAACCAAATATGGTATGTCTGTTCTAGACAACTTGAAATGGCGTGTCTGTTCTAGACAACTAGAAATGGTGTATGTTTTAGACAACCAAAAAGGGTGTGTCTGTATTAGACATCCAAAAATGGTGTGTCTATATCAGGAAGTAGTCGGATGCCTGATCATCCGCTGAAGTAGAATGACAGACCCTAACTAAAACTAGTCTTGTGGTGTTAATGAATTATACTAGTCCAAATATGATTTTATGTCCATTTGATGTACTCCATCCCCCTTATGGTTGCCTTTATTGTCTTCCACTTCTTGCCAAGGACTCCCCAAAGCAGTACAGTCAACTTGTTGCCTATAGTGTTCCATCAGGATAGATCTCAAGATCATTGTATTAGGATCAGTGTGTGAGGATCGATGGGATGGGTAAATAAGGTTAAGACGTCTTATATATATATATATATATATATATATATATATATATATATATATATATATATATATATATGATATATTATTGGATAATAGTTGGTTTTTCATGTTACTGATTATGGATTAATATCATAATAACATTGGGGGATTGGAAACCCTATGTTTCTCACAAAGTTTCCCAACTTGACGCACTCAATTTATATATGCATTACAGGCAACAATGTTAAGATTGTAGAAGACTTGAACATGATGATGTGTGATTGAAGAGAGGACCTACAATAGTGTTTAGAAATGTTAGGTCTTTAGACCGTAACATATGTTGTGTATCGATTATGACATCCTTAGATTTTTTACATTTTTAAACAACAATTATATTTGAAATGTTGTAATATACTAAGATTTCTACAAATAAAGATATTATGAATTTTTAAGTGTAAATAATTGTTTTTTAGTTCAAGAAAATTAAGGATGTCATGTTGGTATTAGAGCATTAGTTTAAGTGAACAAGGATATGTGAGGTTTTCTAGACTTAAACTTAGATTGCTAAGTAACGATGGTGAGATGTGTTGGATTAGTGTCTACGTCCATAACTATTTTGGTATGTACATGACTCGATTATGAGCATGGTCCTTTTGGGTTGCCTTCACCATAGCAACTTGTAGGATGAATTATGGAGAGATAGGATTAATTATGATTTATTAATATATTATGAGAATAATATATTAAAGGAGAAATCATATTGTTTAATTAATATATTGGTCAAGAATTAATTGAGAATTAATTTTGTGGTCAAAAGAGATTAATTAAACTTAGGGGATTGGAGTTGTAATTATATGACAATTGTATATGGGCTATGGATCACCTTGGAATATAGGTTGGATGAATTCTATGGGAATCCCGTAAGGAATTTGTGCAAGGGATGTTATAAAAGGAGTCCATGGGCTACTTAGGGCTTAAGCAATCAGATTAGGGTTTCCTTGTTACAAACCATAATAGCCTAACTATATAAGGACCCCCTAAGGCCCCAAAAACACGGTGAATGAATCCCTTAGGGTTTCTGGATGTTTTTTTGCCTCTCCTTCTCCTCCTTCTTCATCCTTATTGCTTGTGGTGTTTGTGACTCCATTAGAGGTGCAACACTTGAGGCACTAATCTTTCTGAAGCCAATTACCAGAAGGAATAGATTGTTATTGCTACATAACAATCAAAGGTAATATGTAAACCCTAATTTCGATTATAGTATATTAGATCTTGGGTTTATGAGCTTTGGATAACTTGCTTGTATAATTAGATAAACCTAGATCCAAAGTTTTAGGGTTTTGCATGTGCACCATAGGATTGATCTAGTGCTCATCACTACTAGAAAAACAGCCTTTTACGACGCTCATTGCGCGTTGTAAAAGGCTTAGACGACGCGCAAATGCGTGTCAAGGAAGGCCCTGTCATAAAGAGAGACGACGTGCATTTACGACGCGCAATTACAACGCACGTTTACGACACGCAATGCGTATCAAGGAAGGCCCTATCATAAAGGAAGACGACATGCATTCGCGTGTCGTAACCTTACGACGCGCGTGTTAATGACACGTAATGCGTATCAAGAAAGCCCCTGTCAAGAAAGGCCATGTCATAAATGAATATGACACACATTTTTGCGTATCATAAATTTAAATGTTTAAAAAAATATATTTACAGATTTACTAATTTTCAAATTAATTTTGTATTTAATTTCTCATAATAGAAAATAAATATCATATACAAAAAATACAATCCATTGCATAAAACTTAATGTCATACAAATAAAATACCATAAATAACAAAGATAATTCATTTCACTAATATGTCAAATACAAATAATTATTCCAATAGTGAGTAAATGTTATAAAAAAAATGAACTCAAGAGAAGCAGAATATACAATTGCATTATCTAGCTTACTATCTACCAACAACTCTCCGTGTGTTTGCTTTTTGCTTGAGTCTCGTTTCCTCTAAAACTTCTAGATACAGTGGCTTGCTTCTTCCTCGTTACTGTAAGCAGAACTGAATTACATTAGATGCTAATGTAATTAATTATGTTGCTAAGGATAAGGGTGGGGCTACTAGAAAGACTTATTTATATTCAGCTAGAACATAAGTATCTTTATGAATCTTAGCTAACATGAGAACAAAAGGCTTATGGATGTTAATACAGAATATTTTTGGGGCACAACCGTAAATAAACAATTAAATACTACATGTGGGTTTGATGTTAGAACAAGGTTGCAAATGCAGCTGTAAACATGCATGAATTATAAACATCATGTAATAAAACTAATTGTATTTTACTCTAAATTCAATAAAACATTACAATTATTCATTTTTTAAAGTCTCAAATCTTTAATCTTGTAATTCATTCCACTTCCATTTGTAGTATGATGAATCTAACCACAGAAGTGAAATGGCAAAGAATTCTTTAGAGAGATATACTCACTATTATGAACGTTGGGCTACTAACCAATCGGTATACAAGGGCATAATTGTAATTTTCTATATATTTGTAAATTTATGTTTTTGATACATAATACTTTGATTCTTTTTTTCACATTAACAGTCGAGGCAAAAAGCTCTTGCGGATTTACTGCATATGCAAACAGTTCATGTAAGTTAGAATTCCAATATTTTTTTGGTAATATTATATTAAAAAAATAAAAAGTCTTTTTTTTAGTATTTTATTAGGTTTATTAACATCTGGTAAAATTTCAGCTTGCAAAACTTAGTGAGAGCGAATGCCAACCCAAGACACAGTTGAGACTTATTCTAGAAGTTAGGTTGCAGGTATATGCTTACTTATATTTAAATTTTAATATATATTTTTTATTCTAAATGATGGTTTTCTATTGCAGATAGTTGAATGTAGGCGTGTGTTAAAATGGACACATGCGTATGGGTATTAGGTTGGGATAAATTCGTAAAATTTAACTGTGTGTATATGATAGGGATGTAGCTTTAGAACAAGTAGAACAATTACAATATTATCCTCCAGGGAACAAATAGGTTTACCACTTCAGATGCATCAGGAGTGAGTTCAACAAAAGATCCAATAGCCCTGTAACCCTTCTTTCTTCCCAACCCAGGGACTTTTTCTATTCTTCAGCAACCAAGCATCAGTCATAGGATTTTCGACCAATTCCTTATCCTCTATGAATAACACCAAGAAATCCTACACAGATAGAACCATGATTCTGTTAAAAATTACTGGTTTATAGTTGTATAAATATACTCTTACTCACCATAGAGGAAATATCATATTTAAACATGTTGACTCTCTTTTCTGTTAACCAGTAATCAAGAAATGGGCCCACAAGTAGAAGGTATCCAGCCTGGATAGGTGTTGTATGTCCCAACAGATTGAAAGAGCTTAACAAGTATTTCCTTTTGAGATAATGATGGAAGACAAGTCATCATCTTGTATTCCTATAAGAAATCAGTTGATCACAAACTACATGTGCAACTGCAGGTATACACACACACATAGAGAGAGAGAGAGAGAGAGTGAGTGAGAGAGAGAGAGAGAGAGAGAGAGAACCTTGGCATGTGTCATTATCTCTTTAGCCCAAGAGAAGAAATTATTGTTGTTGATGTTGCACACCAGAAACAAGAGATTGTGAAGAAACCTCTCAGAGGAGCAAGTCCAAGAAACCTGCATAAACTTCAAAGTAAACATACATGTTATATTTTATATTGTGCTTCAACATCTACCAAAGGGTATTGTTGTCTTTTAACAACAATATAGCGGAGAGATTCCATGGTTCCACGTTTGAATCTTTAATAACACAGGCTTTGTTGAGAGACCTAAATAATAAAAGTCAGGCTATGCTATATTTCTATTCTTGTTAGTTACCAACATGGAAAACTAATGTATTTTTGTAGTAATTGTCTAGCCTTCTATTCTCTATTAGCTCACCTTGATCCATTTCATCACTCTGCTTATAGCAGTCATCATGACAAAGACTGACTTTCCGTTTCTTAAAAGCAACAACTAGAACTTGAATGGACCCTAAAAACAGGCTCTTACCAACTTCATCTTTCAAAAAAAGAGGCGATCCAGTAACCATCCTCTGTTGTCAATATCTTTATACAAACAAAACAAAAAAAAAATCAAAGATTATTCCTAATAGATATTGTTAAGAAAAATATTAACAAAAAAAAACTCACCTAGAAAAAAACATTAAATCTTCAGCAAACCTTTCTAATATTAGTAAGCAGCCTCATATGTTCTTCAGGCATAACTTCCTTAACAGCATCAATACCACATTTCTTCACAAGCATTTCAAGCAGTAGCTTCACCTGTAACAACATATCATCATCCATTCCATTTATTATATTTCAATAACAATTTATCACAAGATATAAATCTAGATCTTTCACTAACCTTTGCCTAAAAATGACTCTTGTTCGTACTCTGCCAGCTCAGCAGAGCCTCCACCATGCCCTTCATATGCATTTGCAACCCTTCAACTTGTAATTTGCAACTAATACCTTTATCAGACCTAAATTTTCTTGCACCAATAACAACCATATTATTAGACAATTAATATAAAAAAATAATAACAAAGAATACTTACTTTAATTATCTCTTTGTTTTTTCTTCGAAGAAGAAGAAAAGAGGATGGAAAAACACTAAAAGCAGCGGATACAAGATAAGTAAACTCATAACTCAATGGAGTTATGCCTTTAACAGCTGCACTTATCATGTGAGGTGTCTCGGAAGCTAAACCACCAGCCACCTGTACCAAAATTAAAGGAGAAAACATATGGGGACAGAATTGCAACAATCATCTATACTTAGGGCACATGTAATTTGGTGTCCATTGAGGTCAGGGCACATGTAATTTGGTGTCCCCACCACCTGGATTAAAGAAATTAAATCTAGATTAGCCATGGCTGTTGGCATTTCCTGTGCTGGCACTGGTCTGAGTGAGGCCATATCTCTGTTAGAACCTCTTACATCAGATGTAGTTGAACCGGTGTTTCAGGGGCTCGTGATGATATAGGGCTAAAAGCAGGAAATAAGTCAAAAACACATACTTTCATTTAATTTTTGTACTATAGCATCCTGCTTTCATTTGTTTCTAAAATTGCATTATAGTATTTTAAATAATTTAAAAAACTTAACTAACCTTTTGGAAAGGTACATCGCCTCCTAATATCATCTCAAGCATTACCATAGCAGCAACCCAAAAGAACAAAATGTCATGCCCAGTTTCATGAACAGCAGTTGGATAAAAAGTCTTCAAATCTTGAGTATCATCAGGCTACCCCAATACAGATAAAGGGAAAAGCCCTGAAGAAAACCAGGTGTCTAAAACATCATGATCTTGAACCAATTCAAACTTTTTCCCTGAAAAGACCTTTCTAGCCTCAGCTTCAGCCTCTTTCTCATCCCTAGCAACCACCCAATGATCCATGTTTGCTCCAAGCTCTTTCAGTTTAGCATCCTCCAATGTCACATACCATGCAGGAACTCGGTGGCCCCACCAAAGCTGCCTTGATACACACCAATCACAAATGTTCTCAAGCCATCTGTAAAAATCAAAAAAATTTAAAATTAATTAATAAAGTTTAAATGTTGTATATCAATTTTAAAGGTAGAATGAAAGACTAGAGAAGGTGACCTTTTCCATTCAGCAGCATACTGTTTTGGAAGTATATCAATTTTCTTGTTATTTTCATCCATTAAAACATCAAGAGCTTTTTTAGCAATACCATTGCAGTTGACATACCACTGAGGCTTAATCATAGGTTCAATCACATCATTGCTTCTAGAACAAACACCTAAATGCATCTCATTCTTTTCTTCCCCTTTATAAAGTCCCTGTATGCATATTTGATGAAGAATATAAGAAGGGTATTCGCGTCTTTTAGGGTTGGACAAAAAATTAAGAAAGGTATTAAAAACGGTAGACTTCAAAGCCTCAGTTATTGCGACACGAGCTTCAAAACATGGCATCCTTACAAACCCTAAACCTCCATTACTGTTTATCTTCCCATCATCAGTAAAAATGTTAATAAACTCAAGTTTATGTCTCTTTCCAACTTCAAAATCATTAGGATCATGTGTTGGGTTTATGCTTTCTGTTAATGCTATGGGAGTTTTACAAGATAAACTTGGAAGTGTTGAAGAGTTTTTAAGGTCTAGAAGGAATCATAAGAGGGGGATTTATGGGAGTTTTAGAAAATAAGCAAACTAACTAACGGAAACAACATAGAATCGAAATTAACGAGCGATTAAAAACCCTTACCAAAGAATTTATGCACTTGAAGAAGGCCTAAAAGAAATCCGAGACCTGAAGCCAAAAAACCCTCGTTCGAGAGCAAAAAAGAGCAGATTCACCAACAGAAAGAGAATTGAGAGATGTGTAAGCCATGAATCTTGGAAGAACATCAAACCAATTTACAATCGACTGTGAGAACGTGGGTGAAGGCGGGGGACCTAGGGCTTCTTGTTGGAGGCGCTGGAGGTGGGTGAAGGCAGAGGCCCTAGGGCTTCTTGTTGCTAATTCAAAGATCAACATCGATGGAAGAAGGTGGAAGAAATCTCAAACCCTTAACCTTAAACATGATGTGAAGCAATTGATCCATAATCTTCTTCGTCTCCGTCAATTCCTTGGGTTCACATAATCGGACGATGGTGGTAAATGAAGCATACTTCGGGAAGGAAGGTGCATCGTCGTAGTTTGAGGCTAGAAGAGGAAATGAGGATTGGAGGTAGTGGATGTGGATGGGGGTGGAGACAAGGGAGAAGAAGGTGGGGGTTTAAAAAATTTGGGGATTTCATTTTTCCTCCGAGACGCGCGTTTCTTAAAAAAAAATATAAAACGACATTCACAGACGACGCACAAGTGCCTTCCGTGTTTTTAATATTTTTACATGAGACACTAATTTAAGGGCACTCAGTAATGCGCGACCTAAATCCTTAAATTTTTTAAAGAGATGATACTTTTTTAATGTCGCTCTCTAATGCGTAACATAAATCAAAGAGCGTTGTGTTTTGCGCATCGTAAAAGGGTCTTTTTCTTGTAGTGCATAACCCATCTAGATGTGTTTCTAGTATATCTTAGGTTGTATATCTAATTAAACTAAAACTTGCACTAGAATACTTTAGGGTATATGCCTTAATTAATATTATGTTTTGATGATATTTATTTTATAGCATGCCTTAGTTGAATACATTACTTGCTATGATGTGCATTGGCATACTTTAGGAGGGAAGCCTTATATGCTAATATGTGCTAAGTGATAAATACTATAGCTTGTATTATGTTGCTTACTTAGATTGCTATTACTTAAAGAGATTGAAAGTCTGTTGCCGACCTGGATTTGGAAATTTTATGTGCACATATTCTAAACATATACTTATTGTATTAGTACTATAACATAACTTTTTGAGGGAATAACGAGAATTATGAAGTTATCAAGTGGTATCGTAAATAATTCCTATAAAGTGGTAGTACATTTAGAGTGCATTTGGTGAAATGATAGTACATTTGGAGGGATGTTGTACGTTTGAAGTACATTTGATGAGATGAAAGAATTTTGGCATGATCCATGAAGTCGTTTCACTGCTTGACGTTTCTACCACTGACCCGACTAAAATAATGTGTGCTTGTGGATTTAGAGGAAATGAAGATAATGATAGATAATCCAGCAGTATCAAAGCTGAAGTTATATGAGATGTTGTGCAGAATTCGGAGGAATTCAAGAAAGACAAAGAGATTAAGACTGACGGAGTTTTCTGACTTAATAGGCCGAGACTTTGTCTATTTATGTGAGGCACTATGCAGTTTGATTAGTTTTAAGAGCTGATTTTTACGATATACATGATGCTCTGACTTGGTATTTAATGATACTAAGTGACGATTGACTTCTTTCATTTCCTTACGAGGGTTCCTTAATATGTTAAACCAAATTTTACATATAGGACTAGGATGGTGAAAATAATTTAGCGAAGTGTTGAGTGACTTAATTGTTTAGTAAGTTAGTGTACTTAGTTAAAGTAGAAATACCTATATACCGTTGCACAAAGAATGATATTGGTGTTAGGAATGAAAAAGGACCTAGTTGAAATTAGTGGAACGTGCTGAGATGTAGCTAAAGTGCAGATTTCCTAGGAGTGACCCCTATGAAGTAGACGTGAAATATGTGCAGTTGAGAGATAAAACTTTTAGGATTAACTCCTATAAAGTAAATGATGACTAGGTGAAGAGATAGAATGATATGCATGGTGAATTGCATGTGTCAAACGCTGCTACAAATGATTAAAGAGCATTTATCTCCATACCACCATAGTATATTCACCTATATTATACCCTACAGACTGGGGACTATACTAGAATGAATATGAAGAGTTTGGAAATGGAAGTTCATATAACCTAGGAAAAATGTTAGAATATGCTAGATCGACCATATGCGCGAGAAGAATCCTGAAAGAAAAATCTACGAAACTTTAATATGTGCTCAATAAAGCACATGGTTTTAAAATATTTCTTTAAATAGACAAAAATCCTAGTGGAGTCTAGGGAAAATTACTATATGTGATTGTTTGGATCCGCTTATGTGTGTTAAATTTTATTTGTGGTTATCATGTGTATTGACTTGGGAAATACAAGGTAGTTCTTAGGACGAGTATGAATAGGTGTGAAAGGTAATATAGGCATGTACTACCTAAAGCACAAGATTTTCACTTGGATCAAGAAGAGTCACAAGGTTACTAAGGCACTAATAATTGAGTTAGTATTTATGTTTCCATCATTTCCTACGTTTTGGCGATGAATAGGAAAATGCTTTCTGCTCATACCCTAGTGGTCATGAAATCTCGAGTCCAAGTAATATAAATTTATGTGAGTGATTTGATTCGTTTTGAAAACCTTGTTCGATATGGTGACCAACTTTAGTCGATAGACTGGAGAAAGAGATGATCTAGGTGATCAACAAAAGAATTGCATCCTTCGTTAATACTAAGTAGACAATGGTTAGTGATGCTACTTGTTATGATGTGGTTGTAGGTCATTCTTCCTTGACCAAAACAAGAAAGATCAAGTTATTCACACAAGACGGGAGGTGTATTCTGTGTTAAGTGTTTGACTCATAAAGACAAGGGTCTAGCTTGTTATGTGTTCTTGCGATGTGCAATGGAAGATCGTTGGAATGCGACTATTCAGTCAGTTGTTGTAGCCAAAGTAAAAATCTTTTCTTGAGTTGAGTCTATGACCAAGATTTAGAGAGGAGTAGGAGTCTCCAATAAAGACTTGAGTTTGTAACTTAAAGAGTTGGGAGTGAAGGTCCACCGGTGGATGAAAGAACTATTGGATTAAGGTGTCTAAGCATGTAACTAAATTGGTATATTCTTGTAATTAGAAGCAAAGTGTAACGCCTGTGTTTCTGGGCTTGCCATTTTTTAGCAATGTAATAGTCTAGGTTAACCTTTATAACCCGTTTTGAAATAATAGAAATGTATTATTTGAATATTATGTGTTTTGTGCTTAATTGTGTGTCTTAATTTAATTAAGAATAAAAATAAGCGTCAAAATGAAATATTAGATAAAGCCGATATCTATGGATAATGTTGTAGTAGTTAAGACGAGGTTTCCAAAAACATAAAGAATGCTGAAATCCGAGTTATAACGAAGAAGTTATGACCTGACGAACTTTCGCAACAAAACCGATGTGGCATAGCGTGACGTAAATAGTGAATTTACGAAGGAGTGATATTTAGCCTTAGTGATCAACACGAAAGACGTAGATAATATTGAACTGAGAGCATGCATAAAAAGAACGCCTTAATCTGATTTCGTATGAGAAAGTTATGATTTTTCGAAGTTTCAACTTAGCAGTAGACAACCCAAAAGTTCGAATTGAGATCTAGCGAGTTTTATCCAAAACTTTCTAAACGAGAATCGAAGATCTCGTCGATGGTAGTGCAACGACAGAAAGAGGGACGAACACTGACGTCAGATGAAGAAGTTTCGAATTTCTAACGAAGTTTTTCTGTCCCAGCCTACTAAAAATAAATAATAAAAATAAAATTCAAAACTAGCCGGCGGAGTCTAAACGAAAGTTGTAGACCGTAGTCTCACCTTCGCGTGGATATAAAGAACGTCGAAAACGGAGTTCTTATGAAGAAGATATGAATTTTTGAAGTTTATTAAATAATTAAAATATAAATTTAATTATTAAACTTGATATTATCCGAAGGGGAGTCACCGGACTTATCCGGGTTACGCCCAGCGTAAGGCTGTACGCCCAACATACAGTGAAGCGTGACCAGCCTCGCACTTGAGTACTCCGAAGACGTAAGCAGTGACGTTTTTGGTCGCGTACGCCCAGCGTACACCGAAGCTACGCCCATCGTAACCCCGAAGCTCAACCTCTATAAATAGAATGTGAGGGCAGCCGATCTTTTTGCTCTTTTTCTCTTTTCTTTCTCCCATTTTGCATCGTTTTGCATGCCAGAAATATCCCAAAGCCCCGAAGCAAGTTCCGAAGCCCCAAAGTTCCCGAGAAGTGAGATTCCCGAGCCGAAGCTCTGCCCGCGAGAAGCCAATTTTTGTGAAGATCTTCCAGATCTACCGAAGAGTACTACTTCTGCAAGTCGTAGTGTTGTCCGATCATCTTTTGATCAAGTGAGTGTGTAGTTACTTTCTTCTAACGCATAATTACGAAGTATTTTATACGAAATACATGTTATGTGTATATTTTGTTGTTAAATGTGTCAATGTATATTCACTTTCTTCTATCTCATAGATATGATTTATTCTCTATGAAATACGTGTTATGTGTATGTATCTCATCTGTTGTTTGGAATATGTATTGAATGAGAATGCTATACAAGTTTTAAACTATGTATAAAAATATATATTTTTATCTACTAATATGTTGGGTAGAACATGGGTAGATAGTTGATGTGTGATAAATAGATGAGAGGCCTCGATGTTGTTGTTGTTAATCTAATTATTCAGCGAAGTATGGATAACGACCACAGACTCTTTCTAGACTGTCCTGTGGAACGCTAGCAGAGTCATAAACTGAAGGTGTTGTGAACGATGTGTTCACCGGTGTACTCTATCCCCCTCATGGTTTCCTTTAGGACATCTACTATTGAGGAAACCCCTTTGCAGTAATGTCCGTCCTGATGAAAATCCTAGATTAGGTCCCTTGAGATAGATGTTGTTTTAGGGAGATAAAGTGAGGATAACGGGAATATGTAATCGGGTTATTGTTGGTTGGTGATATTAAATATAACTATTTATTGCGGGTTGAAAACCCTATATGCTCACCAGGCTCCCAAGCCTAACCCACTCAGTTTTGTTGTATTACAGGTAGTGGCGTGAGAGCATAAGTTAGATGACTTATCAAGATCTTTTGATATTAGACCGGTTATTATATGTAACTGTTGTATGGTCTATCTTTTGTTGTTTATGCTTTTGGTCTGTTTATCGGAACATGACATCCTGAATATTATTATATAATGAAAATGCATCTCTTGATGAAATGCTTTGATAAACTTTATTTTATC